TTCATTGACTATGCAAAGGCTTTTGACTTGTGTGGATAACAAGCTATGGCTGACACTGAGAAGAATGGGAATCCCAGAACATTTGATTGTGCTAATGTGAAACCTATACGTGGACCAAGAGGCAGTCATTAGAACAGAGCAGGGAGACACTGGATGGTTCAAAATCAAGAAAGGGGTCCATCAAGGATGTATTCTGTCTCCATACCTTTTCAATCTGTATGCAGAACAGATCATCTGAGACACTGGGCTGTACGAGGAAGAATGTGGCATCGGGATTGGTGGAAGAATCATCAACAACCTGCGTTATGCAGATGGCACAACCCTGCTCGCCGGTTGTTGTTAGGTGATGGCAAATATGACTCATAGTGACCCTATGAACAACAGATCTTAACCCTGTTGAATCTGGTGCCGTCTTCATCATCTCTAATACACTTGAATCCATTGTGTCAATTCATCTTGCTGAGAGTCTTTCCCCTCTTGCACTCTATCCTTCAAAGCATGATGTCCATTTCCAAGAAATGGCCTCTACTAGCAACATGCTCAAAGTATGTGAGATAAAGTTTTGCCATCCTTGCTACTTAGGAGCGTTCTGGCTACACTTTTCCCAAGACATAACTATTTGTTATTTTGGTAGTCCATGGGATATTCTGCAAAGGTGTGTTTTCTGATTTGGGGTTGAGATTAGGGTATGAGATGATAGCATTTGGCCTCGCCTTTAAAAAGGCTTTTGGGCCCTTGGGCCTGGTTTTTGTGGATCTCCCAAATAAAACTGGCTTGGAAGCAGGAGTGGCACCCACTTCCAAGAAAAAAAGCTTGCCTCTGGAAACTGTATGAACCGGGAGAAAAGATAAAAGTTTTGCATTGAAGACTTTCGTTCAAGGGTCGCTATGTGTCATCTATGACTCTAATGCACTTAAGAACAACAACAACATGAGATATTCCATGCTTTTTTCCAACACTACAACTCAGAAGCATAAATTCTTCTTTCATCCTTATTCATTGTTTAGCTCTCAATTACACAGAAAGCTACTGAAAAGATGATGGGCTGAATCAGGTACACCTTATTCTTCAAACTGGCATGTTCCTCAGTATTTTGGACAGGTTCCTAACCGTGGACTTCCCCAATGCACTATGACTCCTAATCTCTGTACAATTGGTACCCAAGCCATTTGATTATAAACCCAAGTTAAGATGAAATCACTGGCAGTTTCAATCTTTTCTCCATCTATCATGATGTTGCTTATTGGTCCAATGTCTCTGAAAACCTGCTGGAGGGTCAGCTATGAGTTGTTTCAACTCCATGACATTTAATAACAACAAGGGATAATAATTTAGAGAGGGGGGAAAAGGAAAGCAGACTTTACTAATTATTGTTATGTACTGTCATGTCAGAACCAACCCATAGTTGACCCTCCACTGGGTTTTCAGAGGCAGTAAATGGCACGGGAAGAGACTGTCCATCTCTCTCCCATGGAGCAGCTGGTGAATTTGAACTGCGTATCTTATATTGATAGGGCAATTCCTTACAACTAGCTTCAATGGCTTAGTAGTAAGGAACCACATACAAACACAAAGGTACACAGTTCAAATCCACCAGCTGTTCCGTGGGAGGGATATGGGCAATCTCTTCCCATAACATTTGAAAACTCTCTGGAGGATAGCTATAGGTGATTAGATAATACACAAGAACACATTTATAAAGGTGCTTCTGAACAATTTTAACATTTCTCAACTGAGCTTAGAAGAAAGGGACAGGAAAATAAAGAAGGTAAAAAAGACTGTTATTCTTATCTTGCACCTAGTAATATTACAAATAAACCCAGCTCTTCTAGTCATTATTTTCTTAATATTACTCTTGTTAATCCAATATATATAAAGCTTTGTGTTGTCTGTCTCATATGTGTTATCTATTTCAACCCAAATCCGGTAGGAGCCTCTCTGGCACCTGCTTCCTCTGTACTAAGTACACAGCAGTTTACATATATATTTGCTGAAGTGTATTTGCAAGATCACTTACATGCTTTTACTATACAAAGGTCCTAGTTTTAACAGCTCTGGTTAAAGGAAACAAAACTAGTTTTCACAGCAGTTATCTTCACTAACTTTTGTCACTTACTTCTTGATCCCTTAAATTTGTATCTCCTGCAAATATAACTGTAGCTGACTCCGGAGCATCTTGCATTTCCTTTAGAACCACTTTTAACTGATTTATTCGTTCTTCAGCATGGCCTCTGGTACTCTCCAAATGCGAAGTCATAAGGTAGAGTTCATTTCCCGAAACCGTCACCTACAACAGTATAGTTAAAGTCATTTCAACTGCTCACTGCCCAGTAACATGGAAATCTGATAGCAGAATCAGCGTAATATTCATTGGATTGCATATATTTACCTAATCAAAACTGTGCAATCAGTACTGTGTTCATCCTGTTGGGTCAAAACAAGTATAAGGAACTGATCCTATCCCCAAAGAAAACTCCAAAGCAAGTACCTAGCCACCTAAAATAGCACTTCCAATGTGAGTCTGTCCTTAAAGCCCACCAGAGGAACTGTCTCTGCTATGCATTTCTACAGCATAATGAACAGACTGATTTGAAAGTCCTTTATACTAATTATAGCTCAATTACTTCTTCTTTACAAAGTTGAGTCATTTGGAAATGAATGCAGTTCCTACTTATTACAATGGAGCCTAGGAGGTATAAACATCTACCCAGAGTCCTCAAAAGAAAGACATGAAAGTTACTTATGAAAAACAAGTCATTAAAAACTTTGTGGAGCTTAACTGGTTTCAATGGTGAGGTTTCTATCTGTTGTTCACATGCTTCCTCTGAGTAAGAGCCAACTTGACAGCACCTAATAATCCATTCTTAAAAGGCTCTATTGTTGCTGATTCATAAGGATTCTATGAACAAGAGATGTGAACCTTGTCCCATCCTGTTCATCTCTGACACAACTGAGCTTATTGCTCGGGTCTTGGTGTCAATCCATATTGTGAGAGTCTGGTAGAGTGTATAGTAAGGGACCTCTCCAAGTTATTACTAAGGAGCAATAATGTCAGTTTGAAGACTAAAGTGCACATGATTCAGGCCATGGTCTCTCTAATCACTTGCTATGCATCTAAAAGCTGGACAATGAATAAAGATGACAAAAGAATTGATGCCTTTGACTTGCAGTGTTGGACAAAAGTAGTGAATATCCCATGGACTGCCTGAAAAAATAAAAGAGCCCTTGAGTAGATAGGTACTAAAAAAATGTTAGTCAAAGAGTGAATAAGAACCATTTATCATTTGCAATGAAGGCATCAGCAATATCATTATTTATTTTTAATAATTTGCTTAATTTTAAGAATTTATTTAATGCTATTATTTGTCAGTTTATAAACTGTCTACAGTCAAGTCCAAATTCTTTCATATTGAGAATTCAATGTCCTTCTATAATCTGGTGGCATCACACCATCCCTCTTCCCCCTTTTATTTCCAAAAGCCAACAGAATAGCATGTTGATTAACACATATAAATATGTTGCCTTTACCAATATGGAGCAATTTGCTCATAGTGGTTCCTCCACTGAATCACTGTATTTCTCCATATCATAATGTCTATATCTTACCTATTTTTCAAGTTCAACTCACATACCATTTCCTTCATGAAAACTTCACTAAAAGTTTCTAGCTAAACGTTTTCCTTCCTGTGGTGTATCGAGGCTTTTGTTCAAATGGCTTTCCTAAACCACTACTCTTAACTCTTCACTTTATGATTAGGAGGAACATGCAAATAGGTTGTTAGTCTATCAATGAGGGGACTGGCCAATTTTATCATTCCAGATTTAAACTGAGCAGATCTGCAGCAGAAAAGAGGGGATCTCACTACCAGCAAGAAAGAAGCAGAAAACACAGTGTGAGTCCATCAGGGCCACGATTAGGTGCCTTTGCCTAAGTTTGCTAGCAGATTAAATAAGAGACACCATAATTGGCAAGACTTACTTGTAACACTTGGTCTAAGGCTGAAGGTCCAGCAAGCAGCTTAAGATACTATTCTGACAGAGAAACTGTATCCTGTGACAAGCTTAAATTGCAACCTGTTAACTTCCCTAACAAATTCCGTATTTCAGACCCAGTACAACTGTAGTATTAGTGTTAGAATTGGTAGAAAATAGGTAGGGGAGTGTGGGAGGCAAGTCTGTGAATTCATAGAAATTGGTTTTATATTGTGAATCCTGTTGATGGAAATGGGATTCCCTTTGTGGAGTTAGTAGAGGTCAAAACTAATCCTCCTCACACTACCCATTCCTTTCACACTTCTCTAAATTTCCACTGATTACCCACTTAGAGCTCTCCAGGAGTACTTAAATGTAACAAAAGAAAACCACTGCTGTTGAGTCAATTCTGACTCAGTGCAAACCTATAAAGTAAAAGAAAACTGACCCACACTGTTTCTAAGGCTATAAAATCGAAAGTTTCTAAGGTCGTAAAGAGACATAATTTTTCTCTCATAGAACAGCTGGTGAATCTGAACTGCCAAGATTGAATCCAGTGTGTCACCTGGGCTCTTTTGGAGTTATGGAAGCCTCTTTTATTTTCGTTATTATGTATTGGGAGCTCTGGTGGCTTAGTGCTAAGTAACTGTGTTGCCATCCCAAAGGTAAGTGGTTTAAATTTACCAGCTGCTACACAGGAGAAAGGTGGGCAACCTCCTCCCATGTGATTTACAGCCTCTAAAAATCTGCTGGGTTAGCTATGCGTTAGTTCCAGGCCAGCTATAACACCAGCACCACATTATCACCATCATATTAGTTACTATGTTTGTCTTTCACTTACTAACCTGTACATTTTAAGAGAGCGCAATATATTTGAATAATTTTTTCCAGACCTCACAGAGTACAGTACCATGACAGTAAAAATGTTACTTTAAGAAGCAAATGTGGAATATTAACAGATCCTTAAATATTCTTAGAAAACTTTTATAATGCAACAAATATTTTAACAAGTTTATACTTGAAATTTATGTAAAATTTTATTTGAAAGAATCTAAAACTGAGAAGCAAAAAGGTAACATTGCAATCATGAAACTATAAAAAATAGTCAAGACTTACATGTACACATAAAAGGTTTCTCATCATTTTGGTACTTGGAAATGGAATAATCTCTTTGCTTTTTAACTTGACTCTTGATTTCTTTAACAAGATAGCTGTGAAATATCCTTCTTCATTACCTTCAAATGGTTGTGGAAAAAAATTTAGGCTGGGAAAGAAAATACACTTAGGGTATTTATAGTCTATCACATATTCCTCAATTAGTAAGACATGTAACGGGATCTAAATATTTCAAGATGGTCAACAGAGCTTCTAGATTTACCTACTTGCTCTTAAGTTTCAACTGAAGGAAATATAAACACTCCTAAGTTACAAAGTAATTATAGTGCCAATATTGTATCAGAAAATTTGATAAACTTCTGAAAGAAGTTTGACTTGCATCAAAACCAATTAATATGGATTTACTTTTTTCCACTCTGGTGAACCACCAAAAGTACAATAAATGAATGAAAAAATGTTAAAAATGTATAATTCTACAAGAAAAACAAACTGAGACCAGGAATAAAGAGGGCAATGAATTAAGACTTCCAACAGTACTCAGAAAACAGATGGTAAAGTGAGTAAGGAAAACAACTGGGTTGACATAGCAGAGGACAACCAGTAGGAAGCAATCAAATTTGTTATAAAAGTCATAAAATACTTAGTATCATAAAAAGTGGAAAGAAAGTGCTGGACAAAGAATAGACAGAGTGAGTTCAAGGTCTTAGATGTGAAGCTACTCTGCATGGCTCTCCCACAATCAAGGGGTCACTCCTCAACTCAGCCAAGAGACTAGAGGCACATAAAGGAAATGGAATTTTAGTGACTCTGCAGTCATCTGCTGCTGTGTGGAGGGTATGTGTGTTGGTGGAAGGAGTACTCAGGGATTGCCCGAGGTATGGAACTGAAAACTGGGCTTAAGTGAAAATGTGACGGAAAAGAGAAAGCCTAGGCTTCACTCCTTTAACCTGCTTTCAAATGAAGAAAAACCAAGCTGAAGGCCCAGTTCCAATATCCAGCAGACAGAAAGCTAAAAAACTGACAAAGTGAGTAGTTTCAGATGAAAGGTATCTATGTACTGATCCACAAACAACACTTTTGGTAGCACAGACAAAAGTCAAGAAATCAAAATATGTATTGCAATGGAAAAGTCTGCTGTCAAAGACCTCTCCAAGTACTAAAGAGCATGACGTCAGTTTGAAGACTAAAGTGCACCAGGATCAGGCTATGGTCTTTTCAATCATTTGCTATGCATCTGAGATCTAGACAATGAATAAGGATGACAGAGGAATAGATGCCTTTGAATTGTGGTGTTGGAGAAGAGTCCTTAATATTCCATAGAATGCCAAAAGAAGAAACAGGTCTGTCTTGGAGAAAGGGTAGCCAGAGTGCTCCTTAGAGGCAAGGGTGGTGAAGCTTCATCTCACATACTTTAAGCAGGTTTGTAGAAGAGGCTATTCCTTGAAAAGGAACACCATGCTTGGAAAGGAGAAGGATTAGCGAAAGAGGAAGACCCTCAACTTGAACTGACACAGTGACTGCAACAATGGGTTCAAGGAGGTCAGAGAGGGTAAAAATGGCACATGATGATAGGTTCAGGGCTTAGATCTGTGGTTTACAAGGTCATACAAGATTTGTACTCAACTGGATGGTACCTAACAACAACATATGCAACATACACATTGGCATAAATAAGTTTGTTTCATAATCAATCCCTTAATGAAGTGCATTAACTAGACCAGCTAATGGTCACCTTTTTAATGCCTTAGTTAAAATATGAACCAAAAGTCAAGGACTTCTACACATTTAAGAAACAGATCTAGTGAAAAGGAAAACAAGGCAAGAAGGTAAAGAGATTAAAGACTAAAACAAAAAGCTCACAAAACAAAACTTAACCTCAAGAGATGTGATACAGCAGTCGCCAATTTATGATGATGACAAACTGAACTATACTTATAACTATCTGTCTTTGAGTGGGTTTGATGGACTTTTTTGGGTGGTGGAGGTGGTGGGTTGTTTATATTTAATCAATCTCCTGTGTGATTTACAGCTTCTGAAATCCTGTTGGAGGGTCAGCTATGAGTTGGTTTTTACTCTCCGGCCCTAATAATGGTAACAGAAGATGCTAAATACCTTCATAAGCTTGAGAGAAATGATCTTCAATATAGTAACGTATGCCCAGTCAACTATCAGCCAACCATGAAGGTAGAGCATAGACATTTTAAGTATGCTAGGATCCTGGAGTGGAAGTTTAAGAGGACTTTCTCTCAGGATCTTCCAGGAAAAGAAGCTGTACATGACAGTTGTACTTAAGTTTAAATTAAAGTCATACTGACCACATCATAAGAGACTGACAGCAGCATGATATGGTCAGAATCAGAGAAATCCTGATTGCTTGAGACTTAGGACATCACATCAGGGGCTGGTCAATGGGAGACAGGTATTGAATGTTGTAAGCAAAAGTAGGAAGGGTTGGTGGTGGAGTAGGGAAAGGGTGGATTTTTAAAAAACAACAACAACAAAACACCCACAAAACCCCAAACCAACCAAACATGTAGCTGAGTGGGCAGCAACACTGAATATTGGTCTTTCTAATTGGTAAATGTCTTTCACCTACTCTTTTCTGTAGAATACTTGTCTGTCACATACTACTATATATATTTAAAAATTGAGACAGACTAGGAAGAAGGATTGGCCATCCACTTCTGAAATTACAGGGCTTTGAAAACCCTATGTACAATAAAGTACACTTATATCATCATTTGGATTAATAGACATGGCAATTGAAACTGAGATCTCAGAAATGGAAACACGGAGAAAGAGAAACAGCTGAAAGGAAACACTAGTGATTGGAACATGGAATGTGAGAAGCATGAATGGAGGAAAATTGGACATGTTAAGAAAGAAATGGAACGCATAAATATTGACATACTAGGTATTGGCGAAATGAGATAGCTTGGTATGGGACATTTTGAATCAGATGATCATATGATTTACTATGCCGGGGATGAAAAGGTGAGAAAAAATGGGGTTGGTTTCGTAATTAAGAAAATCATTTCTAGATCTATCCTGAAATACAATGTGGTGAGTGACAGGATAATATCC